AAAACAGGTTATGTCTTATTAAGTATTCGCGTCGATTATCGTTTCTCAAAAACCCAGCTACCGTTGTGTACTAATAATAAGCACATTGGTTTATATGTTTAGTCAACTTCTGAATGTATTATACATCTCATATTATCATTAATCAAGTTGATTAGTGAAAAATATATTCGAGAAATCATGTTACAATATCGTAAGCTTATAAAAACAAGTTAGTACCCTAATTATTACTTATATTTTAAGTTATATACATGTATTCTTATGTTCTTTTTGTAAATATGGTGGACCATTTTCTTGGCCTAAAAAATTTGTTCCTCGGTCTTGACCATGCCTCCTTAGCATTTTTGTGCCCCCTATATATGTGAACATATATATACAATTTTCTTTGAACTTCAATACCCTATATACCTTTTAGTATAGTAGATTGGGTGTTTGAGTTTGGACCAAATTCTATTACTAATGCCATTAAAGAAGGATTAAACAGGATCAATGCAATTGAAAATGGTTACTATGACCAGGCCAAAACCACAGGATTGGCCCCTGTTCATGTTGTCAAAGAGCTGAGTATTGAGGTCTCTCTAAGTTGCTTCATGCACCAAACTCTTCGCAATACTGAATTTTCAAAACTCCTTTACCCTTTAAGATATTCAAATCTCTCTACCTCTCTGATTTATATCTAAGTTGATTCATGCATTGAAGTATTTGTAATTGATGTTATTGTGCAGAAGAAAGTAGACTAAGCATAGTATACATATATATATAAAGCGCGCACATATTGATTCTAACTAAAGAAAAATGAAGATTAAGTCGTATGCCAACCAAGAAAATTTTGGCTCGGCTCTCTTTGCCTCCGGTGACTATTAGAGCAGAAAGACGAGGTAAATTTTGAGTTATAAATGATTGCAGCATCGCTGTTAGAATCTTTCAATTCACAATTCAAAATTTTCTACTTCCATTCAATTCAACAATATAACAATTCGAATCACGTGAGCGAATAACAATCCACCGCAACACAACGATTCGAATCATGTGAGTGATAATAATCTACCATTGATCTCAAGCAAATCTTAGAATTGAAACATGATGCAGTTCACTTTTTGTCATTTGTACATGTTACACTGAAATTAATAATATTAGCACAAATTTCTTCAAAATATTTTAAACTTTGATGTCCTACATTTGAAAATTATGTAGAATGGCAATAAATATTTGGTTGATGAACTATGTTTTGAATTTTACTATTCAACTCGATTTAGACGAACAAGAACAAAAAATGAAGGAAACAATGCTAGAATATGAATGGTTTTCTAATTCTAATTTAATCCAAATAGAATAAATTGCTTCTGATGTTTGAGCAGATGGCTGGAAGGGAAAGAAGAAGAGGTTCTATAGCTTATTTCAAGAACACCTAAAAAATGGAGTTTTCTGGAAAGAGGACTCTGGTTTAAAGAATCAGGCAATCTATTCTACAAGAATACAACATGCAGTTGTAAGAAACTTCTATTGCAATGCTAGGGAAAAGATAATCTCTAACACTTGGTCAATGCATAAATAATCATCACTATAGGCAAATATGAAGGCTAAAACAACAGCCGAATGGATATTCACGAACGTTAGCAAAAAGGTTAGAGTAGTTTGTACATAACACGTTATCAACCTGACAACAAGGTATTGAATCTTGATGCCACCTGACTATGGAAGTGGGAAAGAGAGATTACCTACTTCAATAGAGCGTTATCTTTGTGATTCTGCAAGTATGTAGCTAGGTTTTCTCTCATGGTTCTCCCCAGCGGATCAACCTGCTTGCAGCCCTGCTCTGCATAACCAAAGTCATGATGACCCGACAAAGCAACATCAGGATGTAATTGGTCTCCATTATCAATTATAATATTGTGTAGTAAACAACAGACCAAAATAATGCTAGGCAGTTTTCGCTTATCAGTCTCCACATAACCTTGTTAAGGATTCTCCAACTGCCTTTTAACTGTGAAAATGCCTTAACAGCGAACGACCTTGCAGCCTTATGTGCAGCATTAAACGCAGACATTGAAACTGAGAGACCATTGCTTTCATAAGGTGTCAGCAACCCAAGGAAAAAGAGGGTAGCCAACCCCTCCAATTATAAATTCTCTTACCTCTACTCCTTCAGATATAGTTTTTAAATTTCCATTTAAACGCTCACCAGCCTCACAGAGTTTAAAGAATCCTGAACACTTTAATAGTCTGGCCATAGTCATGCCTCCGGGCCAACCAGAGAACTAAATCATTAATCTCATCTCGTGGTCAAAACCACCCTGCAAGAACATGCTATAGTTATTTGCTGGGTCACACCAATCATCCGAAGTTTGAACAGCAGGAAGGGTCATTATGATATGTGTTGCATCTATAGCACCACAGCAATTAGGTAACCCAAATAATGCTTCAAAATTAGATTTGATCTCCTCCATTCTATGAGAATCTGGCCATTTGAGATGGTGCTTTGCCCGTTCTTCCAGTGCTTCAATGAATCTCCAGGTCACCTGAGAAACTGTTGATTGGCCAACCCCAAAGGCAGCGCCAACTGAAACTTGAGACTCCCCGGATGCTAACCTTCTGAGAGCAATTGCAACTTGTTTATCAACACTAAGAAGCCTTCCCTCAATGTTGATGAGGCCTGATGGTGGCCTTGACACAAGATCTTCTCTTACAAGGGAGCATATGTAGTCAAAAGTTTTCTTTGAAACCCTAAAGAAGTACTTGAATCCCTCATCCTCATCAACTGGTACCGAACCACCTGCGTGTTTTGAGTTGCATCAAGGAGAATCACACTAAATATTTAATTCCCAAATTTACTCTCTCAAGTATCTAAACTCAATTTCAAATTCCAATTCTCATCATCTAAAACTTTGCCTTTGGTTCCCTGATTCAACTATGGTAAAATCCGGCAACATCGAAAATCAGAATTCATTCGTCTCAGTTTCAACCATACCAATAGGCTTTCTACCTTAGACACTTATAAACACCAACTTGATAGAAACTAACCCAACTTTGGTTCAGAGCTAGACACAACCAACTATAAAATCATCATGTCAGCTTCTAAAATACAAGAATTAGAAACCATATCAACAATGAAAAGAGAACTTTAAATGAGTTTTTATACAGTAAATAAACATAAATAACTTTATAAATGACCTACTATCAATCTAAAACCATAAACCTGAGACAAAAGTAAAGCAGCCAACTCCAATATACAAAAATGAATGAAGTAATCCAAATGCCAAATAGTCACTAATCAACCACGAAATCCGTCAAATAAAAGAACTTAAAAAGAGATGTGCAGAAATTAGAACCTGGAATTGTAGAGTGCTTCTGCCAGAAAGTATCCCACCAATCGGATTCAGTAGCTTTGAGCTCTACAGGAACCACGCTTATTCTCTTGCATTTCTTCGAATTTTTTGAACCCTTTTTGGCCTTCTTTGATTTCTTTTTCATCGGAGCCATCCTTATACAGACAAACACCTCACTGTTTGGTTAATCGGAAAGTCTTCCCCCAATGCGGTGACTCACAATGCGCATAATAAGAAGCTGGAAGTAGAATCTTGGTTCTCTCGGATGCTTGAGTTAGAACTTAGCAGGATCCTTACACTTCCCCATGGGAAGCTCACTTTCATTTTAATTTGAATAAACCCATTTTCCATTATCATATATCCATTGAAACTCATTTCTACCTCAATTTAAAAACCCAATCCACTTTAATCCTAAGGCCCATTTTGCTTTCTTCAAAACCCATAGTAAAATTTAAGCAGCCCAGCTTGTTTAGCCTCTCATCTCATTTTCTTTCTTTGGAAATTCCGTTTCTTGCCTAACCCAATTCACTAGAGAAGACAATCCACCCATCATTCCTCAGCCTAGTCTAATACTTGTCTCTTTAGCTCATATTGCATCCCCTGTTCTTCTCATTTGAAATGAGCTTGTTAGAATCCAAAAGCTGCAAAAAATTATGTAAATATTGCGAAACATGAAGCCTCCATTGTCTTCTAGTTGTCGTTGTTATTATATGGGTTTTGTCGTTCAAGATCCCACACGCGGATTTGATTTTGTGAAAAATCCCACCTTAGATTATGGTATCTTAAATGAAATAGTTGTTTAACCAATCATATGTTCTCTTAAGATCCACTTTTAATGACCATAAAACTATCTCTATAATATTTGGTTCTTATGATCTTCGTTCCTTTCTAAAACCAAAATGTCTCCTTCTTAGCAAGCAAGTCTAAGAATTGAGTTTTGAGCTCGTGTTCATAATCAAAAAGAAAAGAGAAGTCTCTATATTGTTTTACAGGGTCGTTTAAATATCAAGATTAGCATGTAAAACATATTTTTTAATTAAAAATATTTTTAAAAGTATTCTTATTCTAATATTTGGTTTGATTCGTAAAAGAAAAAATACAACTCTAAATCTTATTATCGTTCTCTGATGACTCCTAACAAATTTATTGAACTCTATGTGGGTTTTCTTAACCAACTCATTTAAGTGAATCCGAACAATAATTATGAACAGTGACTCGATAATACTACTAATCAATCTGATGGATAATATCTTATGTTTTAAAATAAAATTTTATTTATTTTTAATTTTTTTAAATTTTTAAATATTATTATTAGAAAGTTTACGATTTATTTAGAAGTTATAAGTCTTAAGATTTTTCTAATTTTTTTCGGCATTCCTGCTTCAACTTGATGAGAATTACGTATCTAGTTGAACAAATGAATTCGCTTTCTCTAAACTATATCTAAGTTTTAAATGTTTTATATATCTTTATACAGTAAAGTGTTAAGCATAACGTAAAATTAGAATTTGTTAAAGATGATCACTTCGTTAAATTCGAATTCGTCAATATTTCTTGAAAACCTTTACCTCCAAATTAACATTCGCGTCAATCTTAGGAAAACTTAATCTAATTAAAGCAGTATTAATAAACATTTTCAGCTCGATTCGAAACCGTTTTACATCTAGACCACCATTTATCGAAGAGATTACATATGCTTTTATACGATATAAGTCTTATTAAAGTATCGTAATTTGAAGGAGCCAGACAAAAACAATACCTTCAAATACCTTATGCATAAGGTAAGTAGCTAGTAATTTATCTCACTATCATCTTCTCGGGATGCATGCAATGAGTTGTCTCTTATGATGCATCCTGATGATATTGTTATGTTATATGATATATATATATATATATCTCTTAGTATGCATATAGCTAGCCTACACGTTGTTCCAAGGCTCTGATTGATCGGTCTTAGGAGGATTTTGCTTGCAAGTATGAAGCATGAAATTGCATGCTTCAACAGCTTCTGCCACTGTAATATACATCCATTCTTTCCCTAGTTTCTCTATGAACTTGGACTTGTTCAGTTTCTTTGTCACCTCAGCTCCAGGGTTGGCCAACACAAGCTGCATTAATTAATTATAATTAACTAATTAATTAATTAAGTAATTAACACTCAGTAATCTCCCTCTATGATTATAATTAATCAATATAATATAACTAAGTACCTTGAGCCCTCTTCTATCGACAATTTTTTTTACTTCCTCAAGCATGCTTATACCACTCGTGTCAGTGTTTCCAACAGCTGTACATATAAAAAATATATACAATTTCTAGATTAGTTTAATTATATATAACGAAACTATACTAATCTATATATATATATGGATTTAAAAAGTTCAAAAAAAAAATTTAAACACTCCATACCAGACATATCTAGAATGATATACTGCAAACTGGTTTCTCCTGAAGATTTCAGCTTGTCTTCCTCTTCATCAATCCATCTTCCAATCCTACGGTAAATACGATAGATCACAGCAATTCATTAAGTGATAATAAATAAGAAAGTGTCTCATCACATGCTAGTTATATGTACTTGGTAATAAGAACATAAGAAAGTGAAATATAAGGAATATACATACACATATATATATATAGAGATATATCAAGATAAATTTTTTTAAAACTTTACGTATGGATATAATATATATATATATACATAGATACACACACATACCTCTCTCGTAAGTAGCCAGCATTAGCAAAATAAATCGGAGCATCAATCGAGAGTATGAGAATTCCGGGTACACTTGTTGCATTTTGGTATTGTTCAGTGTTTCTATACGCCATCGAATTTGGCAGGTTCCCAAGAACAAAAGTCTTGGGTCTTGCAACAAACAAAAGTAACCTCAACAAAGAAATTGCAACCTGCATAATTTCAATCAGTTAATATATATAATGCATGTCTTTAAAAAATAGTGATAACCCATATGTGTACATATATATATATATATATGTATTTATACGTACCGCAATGACTAATCCAATCTCAACGCTACCAAAAACAACACCGACGTATGCGCCCATGCAAACGATGAAATCAAACTTGTCAACTTTCCAGAGATGAATGGCGGCTTCGTAATCGATGAGGCCGAGCATGGCCGCAATTATGATTGCTGACAGCACCACCAGCGGCGTGTAATGGAAGAGTGGAGTTAGAAGCAGAAGTGTGATCATCACCGCCATCGCCATCACCACGTTGGACACTGCCGTCTTGCATCCCGCATTAAAGTTTACAGCAGATCGCGAAAAGGGTCCTGCAGAAATTTACATATATTTTCTTTAATTACGCAATACATATACTTATATGTACACTGTGTTTATATATATATGTGTATATACCTGTAGTAAGGTAGCAAGAAGTGAAAGAACCAACGATGTTCATGGTTCCAATGGCGATCATCTCTTTGTTTCCATCTATATGGTAGTTCTTAAACATGGCGAAACTTCTTCCCACTGCTATTCCTTCCTGTTTCAATCAATCAATTAATTAATCACAAGGTTAATACAATCATAAATAATAACATTCAAGAAAATTAAGCGTTGACATTCGAGGTGATTACTGCGAGAGCGATGATGCCGGTAATCATTCCGGTTTTGGCAGCAAGCGACATGTAAGGTGACGTGAAAACCAGATCGGTAATGGACGGTGGATTCAGCCCCTTCTTCAGATTCCCTATCTGCAGGCAGATACACCGTATCAGAACACGTTCTTAAAAATAGACCAATCAGGAGTGAGCACGTTGAAGAAAAAGACGGTTTTACCCTTGGACGATAACAAGGGGAATATGAGGGGGGTGGACCCCACACGATATAGTTGGGGTAAGTGGGTATTATTGGTGGTGGGGCCCAGAACAGAAGACAAAATAGTACCCAGAAGAAGAATGGGACAGGAGTACACTTGTAACATGATGTGGGGTCCACTACCTGTAGTGGTGGTCCAAGCTGTCTCTTTGGTCACACCAACAGAATAAATTTCTTTCTATAAAAATTTTAATTATTTATTTTTTTTAACAAAAAACTTCAATTAATTGCGTGTTTAATTAGTGTTTAATAATTTAATTATAATTAACGGGTAATTAATTAAGAAAAGGTAATTACCACTTGAACTCCATGTTTCTCTGCATGGGTGAGGTAGACGAGAATGCTTCCCAGAATGACTGACGTCAAAGGCGCCATTGCTGATATCCAGAAAAACTTGGGTCTCCTCTTGCTCTACAATTTTTGAATAATCATAATTTGTAATACCAATATATATATATATATATATCAAATTATGATTAGAGTGGTTAATTAATTAATTAATTAAGAACTAATCAAGAAATGTTGAGATTAAAAATGGAAAAAAATTGAACTTACAAAGTATCTAGTGACGAGGAGGAAAAATAGGAAGCAACATCCCAGCAAACCACTTTCCCATCTCCACTGCCAATAATTAACCATGTAATTAACATTAATAATAATTAATTTGAAATTAACTTAATTATAATGTTTTCATAATTAAAAATAAATAAATTTTCAAATAAATTCTATAATACACTAAGTTTGTTTTAAAAATAAATTAATTAAAATTAATGGGTTTTAACAATTAATTTGTGCAATAATGCATCCTAATTAATGTGCCTGAATTAATAACTTATGATAAATTGGCCAGAACCCAAAAAAATATAAGAAGTATGCTGTAAGATCTGATAAAATTAAGTATATATATATATATATATATATATACATACAAATATATATATATATATATATATATATTGAATATGTCAAATAATTCAGGTGACAGCAAGCACAGTCATGAATTCTTACTATTACAGTGAGACACCCGTGAATAATAGCAACAATATACCTCACGTGGTATTACACAATAATAATATTATTAATAATTCGAATATATATATATATATACATACATATATATATATATGTAGAAGTAGCAGCAAGGGAGAAGAAAAGAACCTGGTGGGTTTGGGTAAAAACGGAGCGCAGCACCGATACGACGTCGGTTGCGTGAGTGAAATGGTCAAGACCAAGTATTCCTTTCAACTGCTGAAGACAAACCACCGTCGCTGCTCCTCCCATGAACCCTACTATCGTTGCATGTGATAGAAAATCCACGATGAACCCTAGCCTGCAACATCCCAGTTATTAATTTTCTTCTTAACTTTTTTTACTTCAGTAAAAAAATTATATCAACCCTTTTTTTTTTTTTTTAATCTTGATTTACCCTTATCTCACAGGGCTGCTTGTTCAAAATGGATCTCTGTAGATTCGCATGTTCACTATCTTCTCCGACATGCAGTGTTATTTTGTCTGTGTGTGTGTGTGTGTAAGGAAGAATTGTTGTCATACACGCCACCTTTTGAAATTCTATAAGCTATATAATATACTCATCTAATCAAACAGCAAACAGACAAGAGCTTCCAGTTGGAGAGAAGGAAAAAACCAAGAAAGCTTTTTGGTACTCATGTTTTATTAATTTATAATTCATTATACGACACGACTGTTTCACTTAAAACGACATGCCACTCCTTTAAATTTAATCCTTTTTTTTTTTTTTTTACCTTAACAGTCCAAGCGAAGCTTGCAGAACTCCAGCGAAGAAGGTGGCAGTGAAAGCAAGATGAAGATAAAGCTTTGGATTCTCACTAGCATTCACCTCTTTCCCTAGCATGGCAGCTGTAAGCAACGACGCAACAGCCACTGTTCCTACGGCTAAATCTCTCGAACTCCCCATTATTGCGTACACCAGTGGTGGGATGAAGCTCGAATCTTCATCAACCAAACAAAACCCGTTAATGATTTTTCAAGTGGTAGTAATCGTATATGATGTGTAAACAAATACAGGTTTGTACTTACAGAGGCCGAGAATAGGCGGTAAATTAGCGAGCTTGGCGTAGCTGATACCCTGAGGGATGGCGAGACTGGCGATGGTGATTCCGGAAACGAGGTCGGATTTTAAGAACTGGAAAGTGTAACGAGGAGCCCATTCGAAGACTGGGAAGAAGTATTGCAATCCTAATAAAAACTTCCTAGAGGGTTTCTGGTTTTTGAACTGGCGGAAAGGATCGTCGGGGAAGAAAGTTTCTTTAAGCGAGTATTTTAACGAGTTGAAGAAAGTCTGCGGCGGTGGAACGGCTACACCGTGTGTAGACTCCATTTTTGTTGGTGGGTATACGTAATCAACGTTACCCATTCGAGGAAATCAATGTCAGGTTTCTGGGTTTGAATCAAATCTTGATTTTGAGTGGTGGAAGAGAGAGAGAGAGAGAGAGAGAGAAGGAAGTTGCAGAAGAGTAATGAGGAGAGGGTGGAGATGGGGGGGGGAGTGAGAATGTCTTTATAGGGAGAGAAGGAGAGATGAGAAGGGGAAGATGCTTCTTTCGGTGCTTATTGGTATTCAGTGCGTTATAGGACCCACAACTATATTTGATTGATTCATTAGATATACACGTTTATTATGTAATTATAAATTTTATTTCATAATTTTTAATGAATTTTTGAATTATATTTATAATTTTATTAACTAATTTTTATATAAATTTAAATAATACATCGAAAATTTTTATAGAGTTATACATTTATGTATGAATAAAATTACCCATTATTTTTTGAAAAAACTTGTCACCAATTTTGGAGGGTGATTAATTAATGATATATTTATCTAAACATAATTATAATTTATTATTAAGTTAATTAATAATGATTAATTAGGAGAAAAAAAATCCCAAGACAAGAGGTGTAGAAAATTTGGCCGTGGAGCCTAATGCAATGCCTAACAAATGTAATTACTCTTTTTAATTAAAGACAAAATTAAATTGGGGGGGGGGGGGAATAATCACATGATGAATTTCTAATTTAATAAATAAAAAATTGAAAATGGTTGTGGATTCCGTGTCGTATATAATTATATATATATCTATATCTATATATTATATATATATTATATACATATGTGTGTATGTAATATTGAAGAGGTGGCTATATTGACTTGGGGTTGACCGCGGGTCAGACTTTTTAGTCGATAGTTATCTTTTCTTCCAAAACTCCCACTCGTTGAAGAACACATGTACAAACACACACGCGCACGATATCTCTTTATGATTATATATATATATATATATATGTATGTGTGTATATATGGTCAATGGTTCAAACAACCCTTTAATGATATGTAAATATATGACCCTTTAATGATATATATACGACCCTTTAAAGCTATATATGACCCTTTAAAGCTATATATATATATGTATATATATGTGATCCGTATCTACCTCAACTAGTGATAAATTTAACTTTAGCATGCACAAATTAGTTCAAAGATATTACCCACTAAAAATTTATAAAGACATCAAAATATATGTCTTGTATACGTAACGATACATGTATATATGTATATATATACAGAGGGTGGTTAGAAAAACTCTAGAAACACAAAATGATTGACGATATAATCGAGTATACGTATAGAAGTTGATGGGGTCGAGGAGGAAGAAAAACAAAGACCAAATTGCTAGTGTTTGTTTCCAAAAAGGAGAAAGCAAAAAGCATCATAAATTAGAGTAATTTCAGCCCTGAACGGAAGCTGAAAATGGAGACCAAAAACTCGAGGTGTCCGAAAATGGAGACCCACATCGAGTCGGTAATTTCAAAACCCTAAATTCGTTCGAAGACGACGGGTTTATTTTTGATCGATTTGCGTAATAATTTTCAAAAAAAAGTAGTTCCAAACAGGGAATTATCACTGGTTCAAAAATTGAAGGCTGGAGACGTTACTGTGAGTGAAGCAGGGAAGGGAGCAGCATGGGTGCACAGGTTTTTCCGTGCAACTTCGGGTGACGCTATCATATACCTCTGGGTCCATGATAACACGTTGATTACCAAATAGTCAATAAATTAATTTTAAAGTTTAAGATTTGTTATAAATAATTAATTTTTAATTTTTTTATTATAATTTAATTTATTACATTTTTAATATTAAAAAAATTGAAATAATTAGATCGTATTTAAATAATTTTAAAAAATAAATAAATTTTATTAATTAGCTAAATTAAAAATTAAATAATAATGAAAAATATACTTAATGTTTTTATTAATTTAATTAATATTATTTTTTAAAGTTCTTTTTAAAAACATTCAACATTATTTGATAATTACTTTTTGGTTTAAAAAATAAAAAAAAAAATTAGTGTTTGAAACAAATATAAAATTTTAAAAATTAAATTGTAATAAAGAAAAAATATTATGAGGTGAAGTTAGTAAAATTAATTCAATTGTTAGTAATAAAATATTACTTATATTATATTGTATCATATAGAGTTTTAATGGTCTTACATGAATGATTAAATGACATCGAATGGATACTTTCGAGCATCATCCGAATACTATTATGCCCTGCTTTTACAGATGCCTCTCGTTGTGGGAGTATATGTACAAGACTCTTTTAATATTTGATTTTTTTAAGTATCTATAAAACAACGTCGTACTCTATAGTAATTTAACGAGTGTCATTTACAAAATATCATAAATATTACAATTTAATGTGCTTTATAATATTACAATGTAAAATAAATAAATTATGAATTGTATTCTCTAATATTTTTCTCGGAGCAACGATAATATTAGAGTTAAAATTGTTATATAATCTAAATAACCATCAAATCCTCGAAACTTTCTCGTATATTTTAAAATTTTTGTTACGTAAAATATAATTCTCTCGTCATAAATCCTTACTTACTACAAACTTTCGCATAACTTTATATATCCGAATGTACTATTTAAATTTTAATTCATTTGAATATAAATACATTACGAGATAACAGCGTAAGAATAAATGTGAACACAATGTTTAATTATCCGAACCAAAGAATCTCATTGATGTTAACATTTGTCCTTTTTCGTGCCTAGCTATAATTTAAACATTAGACTTAGGGTTCAACCACTTAGAGCTTAGTCAACTCATGCATGCATATATAAACATCCCGTGATTAGTATATGAATGAGAACATTTAGGCATGATATACTAATCAAATAGAATATATGAGATATGCTTTAATAATTATCAACTTGTATATATATATAATTCCAATAATAATTCATGGTAAATGCCAAATAACAAGAAGACCCATATATATATATTTATATTATATTATATAGTTATAAACCTATACTTACAATGGGTGAGCTTGAAAATTCTCAAGTGTTAAATGTGTACACAAGTCACATGATTAAGGGACAGTAATTAATCACGGGTGATCTTCTCAATAAGACAAATCATTAGACAGATAATTAACAAGCAATAACCCAAATGTTAGAAGTTTAA